AAAAAAAAAAAAAAAAAAGAAAAAGAAAAAAGTGGACAAGTAGCACCCTTGTTCAAATGTATAGGGTCTAATGAGAGTTCTAGTTAGAGCTCATGGACTTACCCTTCCAGATACTTTTTTTTTTTTTTTTTTTTTTTAAATGAAATGTGAACCCCCCTGGGGTATGAATTAAGAAATGCAGTGCTTTGTCAGTCTATTACTTCAATGATATTGCAAGGCCAATAAAATGTATTCAAAGAAATATTAATGGGATATGTTCCAGTAATACAGTCACAGTCTATTAAGTGAAAACATGCTATCCAATAAAATGTTTCATGGAAGCCATTCACCTTAAAAATGGAGAAAGGACTGCTCTACAGCATTCTAATTCACTTTAAAATTGTGTCTCAGGAATGAAGTGAATACTTTACTTGAAATTAGATTATGTGAAGTTTCAGGTGTACAACCTACAGTGCTCTGTGTACTTGGGAATATTTAGAAAAGTGGTGTTTGCATCCAAGATTCATCTATTCCTTAAGAGTATATAAGATGGCACATTAAAATGAATGCCTCAGACCTAGTGGATCTGGAGTTCCCAAAGCATAAACTCTAAAGAAAAACACACACATTGCAGTGTTGTAACTACAGTTCTGAACTCCAGCTGCCAAGAAATAAAGTTACACAATACTGTAACCGAATCCACACACTAACCTGCAGTAATATACTGAGCAGATGCCATCTCTCCTGAAGCTCTCAAGGCACCAGCATATCTAAAACAAAATTGGAATACTTTGTATGAAATTAGGTAAAACACAGATAACCTTGCCAAAAACAGGAAACTTTTTAAGTCACAAGGACAGAACGCATTCTGAAAGACATTCTAGACAGATTCACTAGCCAGGTAACTTAAACAGTCATTCTCTGATGGCATGTAGTGTCCCTTTTGTTTTTTTTATACCCACCCTAAAATATCAGTTGGACTATAATCACTAAATCATCCAGCAGAAGCTGGCAGAGGTTGGAATGTCTCATCTTTTGTTAAAGAGCAAAAGCAAACAAACAGCATTAGAAGCTGTCTTCCATGAAAGCTTATTCCTCTCTGAATCGGTCTCTAAGGCAGGGGGGCCAAAATGGCAAATCTAGTCCATGGCCAGACTCCATTTCCCAGGAGCCCTGGGTGGCAGTGGCTTCTTCTAGCTGCCACTGCTAGACCCAGCCCCGCTGCTGGGGCACCCCGGCCCATTTCCTCACCCCCACCCCACTGCCAGGGGGTGGACCCATGTGGGCAGAGCACGTGGCCAGGCGGCTGGGATAGGGCCACAGCCGGAAGCGAGACAGGCAGGTGAAGCCGAGGAGACCCCAGGATCTTGGGGCAGCAACAAGACATGGCTGGGGCAGAGCCACAAACCGCTGCCCACACGCCCTTGTGATTGTGATGGGCACAGGTTCCAGTCAGGCAGCTGCGTGCAGGGAGCAGATCACGGCTCTGCTCTGGCCCCATGTTGTCATCTCAGACACACGTGGCTCCGGGCCAGTCTCCATGGAGACCCTGGGATCTTGGGGTGGTGACACTGTGGGGCCAGGGCAGAACTGCAATGCACTGCCCACAGAACCAGAGAATCAAAATTAAGAATTAAGAACAAGATCTCTATTGTAAAGAAAAAAGAGTGCCTGTATTCACACAATTTTAAGTTTGAAGCTTAACAATTTTAAGTTTAAGTGTAGATTACAGTAGTTGTACAACAAATTCTGTTCTGCCTGAAATTCTTACTAAGGATCCTCATTTAAGAGGATACACTATCCCACTCACTGTCACTGCTATTAGCAAGAATGTTTTACTTCATAGTCCAAAGAAAACTCAGTTTTATTGTTTTCATGCTGAACCTACCTCTTAAGGGCCTCTTTCACTTCTGGCACAGAACGGATACACTGAACTGTAGCATTCATGTAACAAGTGTTGCCAAGGTTTGTCAAACCACATGGTAATTCCATCTGCCAAGAAGATATGTAAGGTTCTTGAACATTTAAGACATTGGTAATAATTTATTATAAATATTGTAATTCAGACAGTAGCTCACTAGAAAATAAAGTTTCTGAGATGAATGACACTTGATTGACTGTCATGTTGCATGACACTGATAGATCTCTTACTTCAACTTCACTATTGTACAAAGTGTATTTCCAAAATCCATAATCTTGTTACCTTAATGTATTTCACACTGGCAGTTTTTTCCAACATATTCAGGAATGTATCATTTCATTTTTCTGCTCTGTTTTTTTTTTTTATTTTTTA